ATAATTTGGTGCGTGATGAAGTGATTGTACGGTGTAAAGTAAACAAACATTAGCGCTCGCTGCGGCAGTGTCCACATGAATTAAAGCCGGTGGCATGCGCAGGTAAACAGGCTGTGGACTGGCTATTGTTTAATCAGGGCCTATTGTGAGCTAACGTGGTTATGCTAACGGTCAATCACAGAGAGACACACACACGTACAGACAGAGAGACACACAGACATACGCACAAACACAAACACACACACACACACACAGAGAGACAGACACACAAAAACACAGAGAGAAAGAGCAAGAGAGCGAGAGACAGAGAGAGAGACAAACACACTCATAGAGAGACACACAACACACACAGAGAGCGAGAGAGACACAGATAGACACACACACAGAGAGAGAGAGAGAGAGACGCACACATAGAGAGTAGGGGTGTGACGATATATCGATATATCAATACTTTCTCCCGCGATTCGATTATCGCTATGCATTTGCCAAGTATCAATATCGATTTTAAAACATTTTTTTTTAAATTGGTATCAATACTTAATATATTGCTACATTACGCATCTCCATTCCATTTATCATGAAATAAAGTGATTTTTTTCTTTTATTTATGCCATACATTGGCATATTGTATAGTTCTGACCAATATATCGATAATCGTCATATCGAGATAAAATCGTTGTCGTGATAATATAGTTATCGTGATAATAGCTATAATAGAGTGCTATCCACTCAGCCACCGTGGATAGCACTCTCGCCTCTCAGCAAGAAGGTCCTGGGTTCAAATCCCGGTCGGACCAGGGCCTTTCTGAGTGGAGTTTGCATGTTCTCCCTGTGTCTGCGTAGGTTTCCTCCGGGTACTCCGGTTTCCCCTACCACTAAAAATATGTACAATAGGTCTGGCATGCGCCTCCTGTTCGGCGACCCCGCTCCCATCTCTGTGTGGAGTGAGAGGACAAAATGCCCAAAAATAACAATTGTAAACCGCTTTGTGACTCTGGTCTGTGAAAGGCGGTATATAAAGATGGATTACTTACTTACTTACTTACTAATATCGTTATCGTGAGCTTTGTATCGTGCATCGTATCGTATCGTGAGGTACCCTTAGGTTCCCACCCCTAATAGAGAGACATACACACACAGATATACAAACAAAACACACACAGAGAGAGAGAGAGAGAGAGCCCCAGAAGAGAATGACAAAATTTTAATCCTGGTGAAAAATGTTGGCTAAAATAGGCAGCTTTTTATAATGAGAAGCAATATTTTTGTGTCAAAATCTCTTGATCAAACAAATGGCAAGAAAAAATAGTGCCATTTTGAGCATAAAAACCCCAACATTAAAAAAGTATATTATGGGTATGCCACCTTTAAAGCTGGGGTACATAACTTTCCAACCACAACAAACGTTGTAATAACAAAAAACATATACACTTTCTTACAATATACAAAATATGTTTTCTAATAAGAAGACAGTGTATTGTGGATGGATTTGTTCATAGTTAAGACTTACTTTTGGGACCAAGAAAATGGTTTAACAAAGACAATCTTGATTAAAAAAATATGTATATTTATATTATATTAATTGTTATATTTGTTGATCTCTGCTTCCATTGCTTTCTTCCTCTCCCCAAATCCTTCCGTCTCTGGCCGAGTTTGCGTAGCGAAAAGTCCAGACATCATTAAGGCCCTGAACGCAGTGTGAGCCCTTTGTGGTCGGTTCGTCTGCCTCATAAGCCCTTTTACGAGTGCAGTATATTTCATGTTTTAACATGGGCCCTCTGCGCTGTGCCTGGGATCACGCGGGCTGGCAGTGATAAAGAGGCCCAGATTACAGAGCAAAGTCGCACCCATAAGAAAGAACGACACGGTCTGGGTTCTATCGCATCGAGTTTTGTTCGATCCAAGCTAACTGTGTAACGGCTAGAGTTGAGTACATTACAGTACATATTGATTAGAGCTCCGTCTGTTTAACATCAAATTAAGACTGTTCAAAATGGAATACAATTACATAAAATATTTGGACCTTAGATTGATCTTGAGAATTACTACTCAACAGTTCTGGATGTGAACTGTGTTTTATTGGCAATAATGATAAAAAAAAAAAACTAAAAAAATATTTTGGACATTCAAAGACATGGCAGTATTCATACACTGTGTTGATGAACAACTACTGTAGCCACAGCTGCCCCAGGGGAGCACTAGCAGAAGCAAGGAAACCAGTCTATGCCACCACCAACCTTTCACACACACACCTCACTCATTCTAATGAGGATAATCAATCAATCAATCAATCAATCCTTTATTATCTCACACAGATGGAAAAATTCAGTTTGATGAATAAACATCAAGTTCTTTTTAAAGGGAAGTCATCACTCTGACCCGCCCCGTCCAATATAGCGCGTCAGAGGGGAGTGTGGGTGGGGGAGGTGGAGGGGAAGACCACCATAGACTGAAAGAGAGAGGGAGGCAGACATGTAAAGCGTCTTTAGAACACAGTTGGCACTTTACATTCGCAGTCTCCCCACTGTGGCACCTGGTGTTCCCACAGGTCTCCCATCACGGTACTGACCAGACTCTGGGATCTGGCTTTCACATGCAGGTGGCAGGACACACATATTTTCATTTATTAATTTCATGTATTTGGTCATTAACTTGATCTACCACCATAGACTATATTCTTCATTTAGCTAACGAGTTTAATACATTCTATGGTCCTCACTACAAAACAGGAAGAACCACATTATGTATTCATGCTTATGAGCAGGCACCTTGCTCCATGGCTGTATTACTCACTGCTGTTTTGAAAAGACACAGATCATAAATATAATTGCGCATTAGGGAACACGTTGTCCGCACTCAAAAATTACCTCCTCCAGAGTTCCCCGTGTAGGGTTGAAATAACAGCACACAGTTTGTCTGCAAATGTTTCTATGGCAATTACGAACCAACGTTAATCACTTCAGCGAGAACAATGGCCGATGTGCTGCTTAAAAACTCCCAATAATGGAAAGTTACAGAGGAAATGCAGTGTAGAGTTGTATTAATGTAAAAGCTTGGCGGAAAAAGAGGATTTCCCGTTTTATGGTTGATTACGGTAATTACAGTGAATGCTTCCTGTGTAATTAAAGCCCCCCATGTATTCTAGGGCTGTTAGAAAGCTGCGCCTTTCAGATGTTCTTTAGTGCCTGGGATTTTACCAAATACTGACACACACAGAAGGAAGCCACATGCAACTTGTTTAAGCAGTTTCTCATAAAAAAAAAAATAAAAAAATAAAACAAGATGTGGTTGTTCAACCCACATTGATATCAGGAACTTCTGGCACAGATATGTGACTCTATTCTGTCTAAAAGCACTCAGACTCTTTTTATTGTCTTGTTTTCATTGACATGTGTCGAGATTGGCTTGTGAAGCACTTTGAGTTGTGCTAGACGATTGTGCTATAAACATAAATTTGATTGATTGATGAAAACAAAAATACACTTGAAACAGCTTTCAGAGTTCAGACCTCCAGCATTAGGCAAAGTTCCTTTCTTCAAAAAATGAATCCTGGATCTAGATGCTGGACCGGACCACCACCAAAATGTAGTTGTCTTTTTGAAAAATGTCCTAAAAATCTGCTCATAACTAGTGCGGGCATTGTCTGTAACATCTACAGAACAGAAGAATTTTTTTACACAAAAATGCGTTGTTTTTTTTTAAGACAAAACTGAAAAACCTCAAGAGAATGCATCTGGATCAGACATGGACTATCTGCACAGCCCCTGATTCCACTCAGGCTGTGAGCTGCTGAGACATGGACAATACCATCGTCCTCTTTTGCATGGACATCATTTGGAACAATTGGATTACACAATTTGGACATGATTTGGAACAATATGGATTTCTGAATTTGGACTTAATTTGGACTGAATTGAATTGCTGAATCTGTACACTGAAGCTGAAACGTGTGATTGAAAGACACGTCACAGAAGAATTCATGGCTCGACAAAACAAATACAGCCTGAAGAAACCAAAACAGAGAAGTGGGAGAGACTGTTTTCAAAGCAATATCTGGAACCACCATCAGCTGATGAAGTTTGGTATTTTACTGAAGATTGTTGACAAGTTTTATGAAAGATCTGAACATGTTTTATGAGTTTTTTGAAGTATTCAGAGTTCTGAGTTTTTTGAAGTACCGAGTGAAGTACAGAGTTTGAGTATTAAGTTATGTTGCTGTTTATCGATCCTGATGGTCACACGTGACTGTGTGACCAGAGGGGGGAATGTGAGATTTCATAACACTTTGAAGCAACTTTTGTTAAGGTTAAACTCATCATTCTATCAATGTGCAGAAACCTGTACTTTTCCACTACTTGTTTTGACTATCTCTGCTGGCACTGTGGCAGCTGCTGATTGGAGGTCTCCGTTTCCCCTGAGTATATCACAACTTGCTGTTGTAACATCCTTGTTCGTGTTGTTCATACTGTCTCTACCATCGACAATAAAACATGTCTTCTGTCTGAATGAAAGACGCGATCCCAGACTTTGTCATCTTCTTCACTAGCCAACAAAAAACAAAAAACAAACCAAACCCCAGTGATAGCATTATTTCCTGGAAAAGTCAACTTTATTCTTTACAACGATTTGTGTACAAGTGTGTAGATGAATATGTAATTTCTTACACACACATGAAACGTCATGTGTCTCATGATCATTTTTAAGGACCTAAATGTTTTCTAAATAGTTTTTTATATTATTGAACTTCCCAAAACATGGTAAGATAGATAGAAGGATCTTGTGGTTTTGCCTTTTTCTTTTGCCTAAATTTATCAATAAGAATCTCCAGATGTTGATGGGGAGGAACATGCATGTAGACAGACACTGCTACCCACTCAGCCGCCGTGCCACAAGTTTAGCATAACTTCGATGTGATACCCTTTGACCGCCAGAGTTTGACCCTGGCCTCGTCTGCCTCATGCCCAGCTCCGAGCCTCATGAGAGGGGCTTTCTCTGCCGCGATGTCTCCATCACTCAACGATCGTTACGGCTCCTGTGACTTTGGCGAAAACCCGGGTGAGACTATCGATCCAAGCTAAGAGAAGAGGCAATGGAGCTGATTTAGAAAGAGAGAGTGTGTAGAGGCGGGGTGATGGATGGGGCTGGTGGAGGGGGTAATTAGAGCAAAGCCTTTTAAAGAGCTGCATTAAGACTATTGAGAGACTTTGATTAGCTTTATTAATGTAAAATCAATGGGTAGAACAACAGATAATCATTTTTCTGATAAATGTATGAAAATAAAATACAAAACGACAAGATCCATCTATCCATCTAACTATGTTTTGGAATTTAATATAAGAAGTTTGTATGAAGCAACAACACAGGAGCGATTGGTTAAAGGCAAAAGGAACCCACCCACTGTAGGAAAAACTTATTTTGTTGCAATTTCATCTGGTTTCCATTAAATGAAATTAAACCGGCTAATGGATAAGGCAAACTCAGACCCCTCAAAGCATCAAAACCTAGATCCATGGTTCCAACCTGAGCAGGAGCATATCAGACTTCTCAAATCATCAGGTAAAAACTGGGCTCATCTGAGGAAATGGGTGGAGTCTGAGGGGCTCCTGCTCAGGTTTGAACTAAGCCCTTGGAGGACCGGTTTGCCCACCCCTGGTCTAGCCCCAGGAATGTGATGAATTATGGTCCAATGTGAGCTGGGCATTGGGGAGGAGGTGGGTTGTGGCACGAGTGAAGTAGATTGTTAGTTTAAAAAGACTAAAAGTGAAGGAATGTGACTAACGCAACAGGAGTGCAGTCGACCAGTCTGAATATTATCTCCATTTTGATATAAAATGTGTAACGTACCATTAGTTTAATTTAAAGTACATGGTCAAATCTGCAGAGAAGCAAGTGGCTGACAGAAAAATCAGTAATTTCTGTGCAAGTCCACTGTATTTAATGTAATGTGAAGCTGTTGATAGGATTTCAACACCAATATCACATTTCATTTTTCACTGGGGTTGTATGCCTGTATATGCGATATACAGGTGATTATATTTCTCATAAATCCAAACATAAGAATATACATGCTTCTGAATGAGTTTTTTTTCTCTTTCTTTTATAACTGGCCTGCCACACACAGTGTTGCAACAACACACATGTTGTACACAGTGACAGCATCAGTGATGACTAAGACTAATCACAAGACAACATATAGACTAGTGCTGCAAATATCCAGCACTGGCCAAAAACACATATGCAAATACAATTCTTGAAAGTACAGTATGTAGGACAAATGGAGAGATGTTGATCCAGAAATAGAATCTATTTGATTTATATCGTGAACTATAATACTTGAATAAAAAAAAAATGATTTTTCTAAAATTGTTTTGGAATACAGTCCATCAGTTTATACAAAAGATCACAGTACAGTAGTAATTATAGGTAGACAGGTAGTGCTAAGAGGATGGAAAAATCCTTGAGCCCCACAAGCAAGAGAATGGTTTATAAATGGGGAAAATATCTTAATTATATTACACAATAAACACACATACATACACACACACTTGTGAGTTTATAACTATATCATTATTTTCATACAAACATAAAACATATTTCAGTCATAAAAACAAATAGTGACTCTTTCTCTCACAAAAACTGTTTTGATTAAGACTCATTGGCTCACAACACTCACAACACTCTTTCATGGACAAACTCCAAGTGTAATTTATGAGACAAAAAAACAGTGAGGTACCCCGGCTTTAAACTTGAAGATACTACTTTTAGCTTGGTGTGGCTAACCTGCTCATACTCATTGGTGTGTGTCATTGCGGCTTCTTCATGTTCCCGAGCATTGTGAGTCGTTGGTGGCGTAACACATTACACAAGCAGGTCCGTGTCGATGCACTTATGCAGGTTGACATTCTTGTTTTGCAGCTCCAGGCTTTTCTCTGACCGTGCTGCTCCACAAGAGAAAAAAGGGGAAAAATCGAGAGGAGCTTGCCATGGCAACCGCATCCTCAGGTACACATGTCAAGAAGCTTTTATGCATGGAAACTATATATGCTATAAGGAATTTGTTAGGAAAATGTGTTTATGTTATCATATTAGTGAATGTGCTTAAGTTTAATTCAAAATCCCATGTGGCTGAAATACTGCCCCACTTGTGTATGCTGTATGTTATACTATGTCGGGCTATGGTTGGGCTTTGTGCCAAAAAGGGTTAATGTTGATATATCAACAAGGAGGGGTTTTGTTTGAAACATAGTTGTGTTGTGTGTGTGGAGGTGTGTTATCGTCCTGTAATAAAACCCTGACAGCTGCAGGAAAGACCAGAGATGTGTTGGAGTAGGCAGCGGTGACACTGCTTACTGCAGCTTGCTTTTGTTTGTAAAAACTAAACCATTGCCTGAATGTGTGCTTTTATCCAAAGAAACTATTGTTACAATCAGGATTAACAGAATGACAATATTGTACCCTCCTGGACCCAGTGGAGAATAGAGGAAAGTTGTTTTGAGGCAACATATTAAGTTCAACTCAATTCAATTTCTTTTTGTAAAGCCCTAAATATAAATAGCAGTTATCTCTGAGGACTTTACAAAGTTGTGGTTTCGCCAACACAATGAGAAAATCAGTTTGGACACAGGAAATATAACAATAAATTAAAACACAGAGAGCCATTTGCCCATAAGGGGCGGATGGACAATGTTGAAAAATGTTAATAGATGCCCATAGATGTCCTTAAAAGGAAGTCCAGCTCTGTCCTGGGCTGTTCCCTGGACACAGTGCGGCAGGAGGGTCCTGGACATACTAACATCTATACTGAACCAGACAGTATTTCGGCTCTGGAGAGCAGCTTCAGTGACAGACTTAGTCATCCTCAATGTGTGAAGGGGAGGTTCTGCAGGTCTTTCTTTCCTGCTGCTGTCAGACTGTACAACAAACAATGAGGACTAATGAACACTGCCAACTTGATCTCACGTGTCATGCATTGTTGCAATATCCTTAACTTACATCAGAATGTGCAATAACCACATGTCACTGTCACTTTACTGAGTCACTGTGTTCCAGAGCCTCATGCTGCGAATTTACTGATGAAAACATACTGTTGCTTATGTACAGATGTAAACATACTGCTGCTAATGTACAGATTCTAACATATACAGTAACTACGCATTGCTTGCACTAGAACACACAGTACTTTATACTTGCCTCTTATTTTGCTGAATGTAAAACTTTTACACTTCATTTAATTATTATTATTTTAGAGCTAGAGATTTTATACTTGTTACTGATGCTAGAGTTAGAGATTTTGTTTTATTTTAATTAGTATAGCTATCCATCCATCCATTTTCTTCCCCTTAATCCATTTCTGGGTCGGGGGGTGGTAGTCAGAGAGGCACCCAAGTCACAGAGCACCAGCCCCTCACTGATCCTCTGCAGGTGGTGAGTCCACAGGAGGATGGCTACTCAAAAAAATAATAATATCAATGTGAGCATAGCCATGATCTCTCAGCGGGGGCTTTGGGCAAAGTGGGTGCCCAAGGACACAACGACAGCAGACATCAGTGGGAGTTGGTGGAGAAGGTGTGAAGGTGGGAATTGAACCCACAACCTTCAGGCCTAAAGGCCAATGCTCTACCAACTGAGCTACTGTCAACCCATACCAGCTCTGTATAGCTATTGTTAACTTATTTTGTGCTACTGTTCTATACCATGTGATGCAACACTGAAATTTCCCCACTGTGGGACGAATAAAGGATCTCTAAATAATGTCCTGGACTTTCACCACTGTCCTTAGACCCTCATACACTGGCAAGGAACTTAAAGTCAACATAATGTGTTTCCCAATAGGCCTGTTTCATGTGGATAGGGCTTTAGTTCCAGTTACTGTACATTGAGTTGGGATGGACTTCCGCCAACATGGGACTGAATCATGGACTGCATATACTGTAGTTTAATGAAAAGTACTCACTTTGGCTCATTTCACCACATTGAAAAGTAAACTCCTCCTTCTCACTAACCATTTGTATCACAATTATCATTTTGGCCTTAAAAATCAATAGTTCACTGCTCAATTGGCTCACTGGCTGTTAAGTAGGTGCTAAAATATTTGATGTTTAGCTGAAATATATAATTGTATTCAGAATAGAAGTTGAAAGTCCAAATATTAAAGATACTGAGGCTAAACAAGATGTGAAAACTAAAACACATAAAATGATTTTAATTTGTCTAAATGAGGCCCTCATTCCTCATCTCCTACCTGCACTTTCCAATCCCCCCTTTTTTAGGCCACTATTTTCTTACTCAACTCTTTGCAATGCAGTTGGGAGGTTTGTGGTTTGTGGCATTTCCAAAGCCGCCTAAATTGAATCCAACGGATGCAATAGGTTTGTATTTGGAGCTGTAGACCCCGTTTACGTTTGGGTGAAGTTCAGCTGGGGCCAAAAGTGCGAGGAAGTGCTGATTGCTGCTGCAAATGTTATTGTACAGTGGATAATAAACCTGGATGATACATATGGATGAGAGCCGCATGCATCTGCACTGGGACCAGCTCCAGTTTGACAGGAATCTGAATATAGAAAGTTGCTGTCGCCAGAGACATAGCTGGTTCATTTATCAGTGTGGGTGGTGGAAATAGTAGTATTATTATTGTATTGTAAATGTCTCTATTGTGAGATCAATTAAGTTTATCTTTACTTATTAGTAGGAGTGAGAGTAGTAGTAGTAGTAGTAGTAGTAGTAGTAGAAGTAGTAGTGATAGCAGTAAATAGTGGCAAGTTGTAGGCACTAATAGAAGTAATAGTCGCAGTAGCCGCAGCAGCAGTAGCCACAGCAGCAGTACTCGTAGTTGATTGAGAAGAAGCTTTTGTTATATACTGTACTCTGTGAGTAAAGAGCAGCACAGCAAAGTTGTAAACAATGTAAACATGTACTTTCTACAGGAGTACATGTATTTTCTACTTGAGTACTGAGGGACTGCGTCACATCGGCACATTCTCAATCGTCTGTCTGCTGCAGTCACTTAGACTCCACTCCGTTTGGTTATTTTTGGGGGCTTTCGAATTTGGAAGTTTTTGTGTGTCCTACTTTCACACCATTCCCTCAAGTGAACCAGGGCTTTTTTCGGTTTGATCCAGATTTGGTCTCTGTCTGCTCGGCTCTTACAGTCTTTCCTTTCTTTGTGGATCTGCCTTGTGTTCCTTCGTTTTTCCTCTCTTCTGCCATCTGCTCGGCTCCTGTCATTTTTCTATCCATTCTCTTGCACTTTCATTTTGCAACTTGCCTCGTTTGCGTCAACAAGACCAGCTCATTTCTCAGTCAACCCAAAATAGTGGATGCAAACTTAAGGCACATCCATCCATCCATCCATCCATTTTCTTCCCCTTAATCCATGGGCGCCCTCTGTGTCATTTTATGTGGACCTCTGCCTTGGTCACTCAAATTAGCCATTGAGGTCATAAGCATTCACAATGTCATTCACAGTGTCATCCAGCCAACTTCAGTTCTGACAACATCGATACTTAATAAGCTCAGAACCTCTGGAATCCATTCCTTGACATTGTTTGACTGTACTTCAATTTATTTTTAATTGCACAACATTATGTATATAGGGAGTAAACCTTTGTCATCCAGCCAACTTCAGCTCAGAACAAAAATCCAGTCACATTGTGTTGTCAGTTCCCAGTCAATGTTCTTGAATTAAAGTGGCCCTCTTACAACAAAGATTTGCTAAGTACTTTTCTGCATATTGAATAACAAGTGTTTCCTCTAAGTTTTGAGAATTTCTGCAGTCAAAGTACTTCCTTTAGTCCACGCCACGTTAGATGAAGATGTTTTGTATTTGTTATATGTGTTTTTTGTATTTGAAACGTTTTTAAAAAGAAACGTTTTGCAAAGGGCATTTTGACCTGACCTAAAATAAGTAATAACGTCTTACTATTCTGCTCAAATAAAAACATATGAAAAAGGATGGTAGCCAAAGAGGGCTACAGCACAGATGCTACAAATCATGTAAAACATTCAGCTCCAGCACCTTTAGCTAGTTCTTTCAAGTGTAGTGAATGTAGATTCAGATTCAGATTCAGATTCAGTTTATTTGCCATTTACAGTAAAAAAAAACACATTGGAATACATTAGCAAAAAGTAGGTAGCTAAACAAATATAGTCCAATATCAAATATAGTCCAATATCAAGAAATGTCTAGTGTGTTCCGGTGCCATACAATTCCATTCCCCTATTAAGAAAGAGCAGATTTATATTGAACAACGGCTATATTTCAGCAAAATTCAGTCACTGCCAAAGCTGATACGAGTCTGGAGCCAAAATCATCAATTCTCAAAGTCAAACAGGAACAAGTCCATCCTCTGTCCGGCGCTGAGATGACAAGGTTTACAAACGCCGGCTGTAATTCTCCATGCTTGCATTGTTAGTGGATTTAAAGCTGCGGTACTTCAGTTTTATAGCCCTGTAAACAGTACATGTTTGTCTCAACAGAAGAGACAGGCTAAAGTTAAATCTTCTAACCAAACAAAAGTAAATGCTGTCTTCATCTTATTAAAAAAACATGTGCCCTGTGAGTCACTATTTTTGATGCGTGGACTGACCTGAGTCACTTTTCTGTCGGAGAAAGCTGATCTGAAGATGTGACATGCATGTGAAAAGTAGTGATAGAAATTGATCTGAGAGCAAACTTTTTTATATAAACATTTAGGTACCCCATGTTTAACAAGAAGTATTTTCAACTATTTGGGTCAAAACATATGCATGAAGGAGCAAGTGCAGTGATGATCCGGACATTTATAGAGATTAGTTATCCCACTCTCTCTGGACCAATGGCTCCTATGTGTAAATTATTACAGCATTTCCTGTGTGTTCAAACTACTTCATTCTCAAATCTGTTGTTGAGGAATCGACAACTTTGTAAATTCCTCTGCGGCGACTGTTAATGAGATTTAGAAAAAATATTACATTTTAATTTGTCATATGTTTGGTTCTTAGTTGCCTTACCCCTGCATATGCCTATTTAGTAACCTTTTTTTTGCTTCAGGAATTTCTTAGGGCACTGCGAGAGTAAACTTTTGAATGGATGGATATGTATTTTTATATCCATTATGATTATAACAAAGTGGGAATCACATTGAACACATTTTGTGCAATTGACAACAACTTATTGGTCCTAGAGTAGTCCACATGTAATTGTAATTCTATTGGAAAGAAGTATTCAAATAAGATAGATTATAATGTTTTTTTCACTGACTTCAAAATCTCTTGCTTTTTCATCAAATTTACAGCAGTTTGTAAAATTGACATCTGATTAACATTTCTGTACAGCACAAACAAAAGCACTGGATAGCAGACAGGCTAAGGTATGTATACAAAAGACCAGATAAATGTGGAGTTTGATCAAAGCCTTGTATAATATCATTGTCACTACTCTTTTATTCTTCCATTTGCACCTTAAGGCCATGGTAGTCCAAAAAGGTTAGCTTTAAATATCCCTTTGTATGGTTTAATTCCAGCCATTCAAACAGAAAGATTGAAATGGTGATTGTTCAAAGTATAATTCTGCAGTAATGGAGGCGATACAAAGACTTCAGTGAGACCAGTGAGACAGACCGCTGGTCCAAGTCAAAGCGGGAGAACATGTACCCATTTCCATGACAACATCAGAACTAACTACTTGAGTCAGCCAATCAAAAAATGTTATGTAAGGAGTGTGAAATAACAAAAATGTCGGTGGCACCTCGAATATATTTTTCTGGGTCTAAATCAGAGTGAAACCTGATTGTTTAGAAATATTACGCAAACAGTGTCTTTTTGGAGTTTTTAACCATGCTACAGCCTTGTTCAAAAACACACCTGAAGATGTTTTTAGCTCCATTCATTTTAATATTAGGAGCTTCTGGCACAAACACATCCCTCTGTCTACTGTACATGCTACGATGAATCTTTCTGAAAATATACTCAAAAAATGTGTTCATTGTTCAGTTTTTGAGTACAAGTAATTCATATTTTATAATGATAAAAGAAACATTTAAAGGTGATGTCTGCAACTTCAATTGCTTGTCACTTATGTATATAAAACAGTTCATCCCCTTGCCACACCAGTAAGATTTGCTAGAAAAAAATTAGTTAGACCAATGTGGAGAAGTCTCAGTTATCTAACAAGAATATTAATAAATTGTGTCCAATCATCAGGCTGTGGGGGAGTGTCTAAGTGGTGCCTGCAGTCAAAAAACTTCTCACTATCCTCACAATTTGAAAAGTAAGTGACATTCCCCTTAGAACAAATTTAAAGCTGGGATATCCGACTTTGAGAGTAGTTTTTTTTTCTGCGTCAACAATTAGTATTTTGTGAACAATCCCACAACATGCTTTATTTTAATTTTTTAATCATCATTGACTGATTGGATGACTGAAGGGGTTGTCCTCTCTTTTCCTGTCTGAGAAAACTGATCTATAGATGTGACAGATGCCAAAAAAACAAACTGTTTTGGGAACTATGGGTTGGATGACATGATATTTGTTTCGATATCCCTCTACGCTAGCTAAGGACCCGCCCTCTCCCTCTGCTGACGATCAAAGCGCAGCGACTTCTCCAGCTCCCATGTGTGGTGCTATGTTGTGCCTCTCCTCTTGGTGCGTGTCTTCTTGTGATCTGTTCCAGCGCGGCGCTCAGCAGGAGGCCTTGCTCTTCACTGGCTTCACACATCCCCCCGCTCGGCAAATGAAAAGACCCCGACATCTGCACTGTATTCCCCCACCAACACGTCACCGCGATGTTCAAGAAGCGGCAAACTGTCTCAATTATGAGCCAACAACAAGAGGAAGACGGAGGAACGTGGAGATCAACAGAACAGCAATGCAGAGTCCCATCAGAAAAGTGGATATTCATATTAAGCCTGGTTCACACGGCAGGATAATTAGGCCGATTTTGGACCAGATTTACCCCTACAACAATCGTAACAACGCTCCGAATATCGTCTGATGGATTTTCTGCCGTGTGGGGTGTGTTAAGACTGTGCTCGTTGCTCGGAAGGACTTCGGGACTGCTCCGATCTCAATATCGGGGATATCCAACATGTTAGATTGTTTTGGCACGATTTCTCTTCGTGTGTGGTGTCCCCCGAGGACAGACGAGCGCATTGCCATGACTGCGGCGTGTAGCCAATCAGAAGACGAGACGAGCCGGCGAGAAAACACCTTAAAAAAACCAAAACAGTCAGCGGCATGGCGCACCAGAAAGTTCGGTGGACATCAGAGATGGAGGAACAACTAGTTGACCTCTGGCAACACTGTGAATGTATGTATGACGTGTCGTGTAAAGAATATCATCACCGAAATGACAAGGAGAGGAATTGGGCAGAAATTGCTGCTGCACAGGTAGTGTTGGCATAACCCCTATTCGGACGGGATTAGTACACTAAATGATCAGACTGATGGGTTGTGTTTGTACGTTTACTTTGCCCTCTATCCTAATACAGCACAGACGTGTTGATGCAGCCGTTACTGCAGCCGGGCTTGTTGGTTTGCGCGTATGTAAAGTTTCATGTCTAGCAGTGTGTGTGATGCGTTCACAGATAGTCCATACAAACTGTATTGTTGAACAGCACAGACAGTACGGGCCAGAGAACTGTAGAGCAGTAAAATCCACATGTATGTGTTTGTCCTCATGGTGTCTGTGGCTGCTGGGGTCAGACGAGAGTCTCTATAGGCTGCGTGAAGCAGAGAGGCCCGCACACTCTGTTTACTCTGAAGTCACGCTTGATCTCGAGAGATGTTGTGAGATTTCCGGTGATCTGTGAATGCTCGGGGGTGAAATCGGTTCGTGTGTGATGTGTGTGGTTTGCGTGATTTTGCCGTGTGGCTGCGCACCACACACTGTACGACCAAAGAGATTTTTTATCTCCGTGTGTGGGGTCTCACAGAGAGAAAAAAATCGGCCGACAATTTTAAAATTGTCTCGTGTGAACCAGGCTTTAGTTGAATAGGTAAAAGGCCTTCAGTCCTTGCAAGTTTAGCTTTCTAAAGTAGAAATTACATACAAACTAGGAAAGGCAAGTTTATTTGACATGCAAGGCAAGTTAAAGTGCTTAACAAAACAGTGGGCTGGGCGATAAGACGATAACGATATATATCGCGATAGACACGTGTTCGATATCAATAGAAAATGGGGTTGTAAAGCAGAGTCAGAAGTTTGTGATATTCTGGGGGACGTCGGGAACAGTAAGACATTCTGGGAAATGCAAAAATACAAGAAGTTTTCATTCCCCTGTGACTAAATGTGTGCTGCTAACGTGTGCTAGCCGACACGACAAATTTTATTTAATACGATTTAACAAAAAAACAATCTATAATTATCTATCGTCAGATTCAGACGGAGTTTCCACAGACATGTGAAGGACTCAGAGGAGGGGGTTTCAAGAAGAGAGAAACTGATTGATCCTTCGATGAAAAATGGACCACAAATTCTGCTTAGATATATAAAAAAGGGTTTAATATATAAAAGACAGAATTCAAGATACAGACAAGTGGCAGACTGCTTGATCAGTCTGGGCCCTGCTCCCTGGCACACCCAAAGCAAAAGACCCTGTTTCAAGACAGGCTATCGATGAAAAGCACACAGTCACATGACATGATAATTGAAAACACATGTCTCACCATCCTTAGGTGAACACAATAGCTCCTTTCTCCAAAACACACAGTAGCCCCTCTCAAAGTAAGCCTGAGGCTATAACAGATGTTTTCTGCGCTCTTAATTTAACTTCCTGTGTATAATAGCTGGGGGTTTGACTCCGCACATTCTTGTCTCCTGCCTGGATCAATACTACTAGTTTTTAGATCCACACTAGACTAAACGTTACATTTATTAATATGATAATAACACAATAACATACTCCATTGACATAATCCCCCCTATTCATAATATATAAATGTAAAGTTTTAACATCCAGTATTACATCTCTTGTCAGTTTTCTGCAATACCTTCATAACAAACTTACACAGAAATATCAAAATCATCATTTACATTTGTGTGAGCTAACAACGCTTGACATTGATCCGAAAACAATGTGTCTGCAACTGCAGTGTTTATCATTCTGTTGGTTAAAGACTTCGCACATGGCAACAAACAAGTGACAAATATGCAAAATAAAACCAAAATCATTATTGCAGGTGTCGCTATTTTCAATATCAGTTGCCACCATGCTCCAGTAGAAAACCATGACAATAAGTCCCAATTCATGTTGTCATTGTCTCGCTCACTTAGCATCTCAGTTTTAAGACTTTTTAGCCAATCCAAAATTAGTGAATAATTTGAGTTGGATGATGGAATGAACGTACAACAATGATCCTTAATTAACTGACACACACCACCAGTTTCAGATAAAACAAAATCTAATGCCACTCGATTCTGCATGATCATTTGACGCATAGCCTCTTTCTCTGAATCTCCCCTGATTTGTTCAGTGAGGTCCATGACAATATTAGTCAAATTCTCCAAATTCCATGCAATATCATTCATCCTATGACTTAAATAAGCAACTCCATACATGGGAAGGGCTGTCATGAACACTCCTCTTACATCTGAGATTAAAGGTGGGCTTCTGGCCGCTGTGGCAGCAGCCCTTTTCTGCCTCTGGCCCAAGTGCTGTGTCAAGTTATCACTTGAAATGATATAGGAGGCCGGACCTAGGGTGGCCAGATGACAAGTTCCACACCATCTCTCTGGAAGCCACAGATACACTTTATCTCCACAAACCCACACCTGGTTTGACGGGCATGGATAGCACCAAAACCCCGGGACCTCCACCAAAAAAGCTGGGTATGAGTGCCAGTTGGCCACTCCACTGACCTCACCCACTTTAGTGAAATTAATCACTGGGAACTCCCGTGCGGTCGGAGTAGTAGTGAAGTATAATCTGTGATGTACCTCAGAGGTTTGTTGGTTATATGTGGCAATAGGCAGAACATCATCACAGGTGGATGTTCCTACATATTGGTTAGCATCCTCCCAGGGCCCCGGCACATTGCATTTCCTACTCAGACACAGAGGAGAATTGGCTGGAAATCGAGCCACAGTCACACCTTTCTCATTAGTCATATTTGTACTTAAAGAGAAGTTCAATGGAACTCTCCAATCTGCTACCTTTTGAATTGAAAGAGTAGTGCAATTTGGCAGCCATTCCACATATTTAGAGTAGTTCATGCCAATTGAATGTAAGGTATAAAAAGCCATAGTGCATATAGTTGTTAAAGCTGAGACTGGATGTGGTGTTATATAAGGATTTGAATTTGAATGATGAGGAACAAATGCACAAACATAACAATCTGACATATTATTTGCCTGAGCCGTTATTTCAGCCATGCGATACCAGTAGTTGTCTTTATAGTGATCTACATCTATTTCTGCTCTAGCTGTACGCTTGACATTGTTATATTGTTGACTCCCCCACCAGAGCAGTGATGGAACCACAATAACTATCAATGTAATCAGCATTATTAGACCACTACTGCATCGAAGTCCATGTCGAGTGGAGAATACTTTGAAGACCATCTTGTAAACAGTCCTTTTTGAAACAGTCCAATTCACCAATATCACAAGATGAGAGGTTACTAGCACATCATCAAGTTGTACAAACTGCGTTTCTTGTGCATTAAACCACTGGAGGATCTCCCTGCTTCACTGACTGTTGAGACGAGCACGTCTGCCCCCCTTTGTAGGTCAGCCTTCCCCTCCGCTGTGGTTGACACAAAATCTCTCAGATTTCTCTTTTTGCAGTGTGAGAGGTGAATCCACGTGGGCCTTTCTGCTATCTTCACAGCAGTGGGTGTCGTCAGAAGCACTTGATGCGGACCTTCCCACCGTGGACTGGACCAGGACTTTCGTTTGATGACTTTCACAAACACCCAGTCTCCAACTCGAACAGGCAGCTCCTGTGCACAAAATGGTTGACTCGGAACATTATTTGTTTCTTGACACGCTCTAGTCAATAATGTTTTTCTCATATAGTCAGCCAACGTAGGATTATCATCAGGAGAGAACTGCTTATTTGGCTGTAAATCTGGAAGTGTGTATGACCTACCATATAATATTTCAAATGGTGTCAATGCACTACCCTGAGTAGGTGTTATATGCATGCTTAACTGTACCAAGTCTATGCATTCAGGCCATTGTCTGTTTGTTTCCTCCATGCATTTCCTCAATTTAGCTTTAATAGTGCCGTTATTTCTTTCAACTAAACCTGCACTTTGTGGATGGTAGCTACAATGTCTTTTTAGATTTATGTTGAGATTTTTTCCCACCTTATCAATCACATCATTTACAAAATGTGTTCCATTGTCACTCCTGATAACTCTGGGAATCGAAAATGTTGGCACAATTCTTTTACATATTGCTTTAGCCACTGTTAGAGCGTCCGGAGAGTGACAAGGAAACAATTCTACCCATTTGGAAAATGCATCAATAATCACGAGGCAATATTCCAAATTATTCACTTTATTTAACTGGATAAAGTCCATGTGGATTTCTTCAAAAGGATGTGTGGGTTTAGGAAATACCCCCCTTTTTGGTCTCATATTTCCTTGTGAATTGTGTTTTATACAGATTACACACTGATTACAAAAATGTTTTGAGTATAAATTGTACCCATATGTTGTGTAATATTTGTTCACCAATCCACACATACTTGCAGAAGAAACATGGGTTACTCCGTGGCTCACTAAAGCCGCC